AAAAAAAAAAAAAAAAAAAAAAAAAAAAAGAAAGAAAGAAAGAAAGAAAGAAAAGAAAAGAAAAAAGAAATTCTTCCCTGGGGCCAGGGATTTAGCTCAGTGGTTCTGCAGCCTGCACTTGTTCAATCGCCAGTACCAAAAAAAAGAAAAAAGAAAATAAAAGAAAAGAAATCCTTCCCCATCCTGAGCTCAGAAGGATCCTTTCATTGCCTTCTAAGAATTTTCCATTTTCCTTGGAAAGCTCAACTCTTATCTGCCAGAGTTGACTTTGTATATGGCTGTGAGGTAGGGATCATGCTGTTGCAGAAGGAACTGGTAAATGACACACAGAGATGCAAGAGTGGGTAAAACAAAAAACATTTACTTTGTTAGCAGAAAGTTGGCCTGCACCAAGGGCTGTGCCAAGTGATACAATCCGCCTTTTATAGGCATTTTACAATCATGACCTCATTTTAGGAAGTTCAATAAGACACTCCATTTCCCACAGTTTCCTTCACAAATCATGGTCATAAGATGGTTTAATTTTAACCCAAATGTAGCACCTCCTTTGTGGTTAGGATGTTTATCTTTAGGATTCACCTAATTAGCTATTCTAGCCCACAAGAGTGGGGATCAGGGTTAGGAAAACAGGACTGGTGACATTCCTTTCATCTTAACTCTTTTTATAGTCATTCGATTTACAGAAAGCTTAGGGTTTAGAGTCTCAGTGTACTTTGCTTGTAAGGTATGGCAGTTGTTGTCTTAGTCTGAACATCTGGTCTCACCCTGGGGATGCAGCTAAGCACCTCCGGCATCTGTTATCTTAGAGCATTTTAAACTGAGGCTACGTGTCTTCAAGCTGTATAGTTAATGATGAAGTCTCTGGTATTGTACTAAGAAACAAGCAAAGCAAATTACAGAAGAGAAAGCCAGTGGTTCTTCTGCATTTCCTTAACATTTCGTAGGTTTCAGACTATTTATAGAAATTCTCTGTATCGGTGTGGGTTTACCAAGTACCAAAGAATGGGGGCCTCTGCCACAGAAGGGCCAAGGTGGTGACAGGGTTGGTTCCCCCAAGGTCTCTCTCCTTAGCTTGCAGTGCCCTGTTCCTGTCTTCACTTGGTCCACCTTCTGTGTGTCTGCATCTTGCTCTTCTTGTCCTAGAGGGGCAAAGTCCATTCCACTGACTTCACCTTACCTGAATCCCCTCTTTGAACACCCTTCACCAAAGGCAGCACCATTTTGAAGTTAGAACTTCAGCATGTGAATTTGGTGCCATGCAGTGTGGCACATGGCTGGATCCATTTCTGTTTTGACCCGTGGAGAGCAGTGCCCTCCTGGCACCCATCCCTGACTCAGCACAGCCTCCCTAGCACACATCTGAGCACTGTCACTTAACATTATATCTTGAGATGCATCCATTTTCTGACAGTTACTCGTCCATCCTTCTTTATGGCAGAGTAGTACTCCATTGTGTATAAATACCACATTTTCTTGGTCCAGTCATCTGCTGATGGACATATGGGCTGCTTCCAAAGTTTAGCTGTTCTAAGTTCTGCTGCCATAAATGTTGGTGTGCGTGGATCATTGTACTATAATGTCTTTAACTCTGGGAGTATCTAGGTTGAGTGGAACTTCCAGTTTCTGTGTTTTGAGGGATCTCCACACTGGTCTCCATGGCAGCTGTACTGGGTCAGACCCACCAGCAGTGTAGAAACCCCCACCCTACCCACAGCCTTAACAGCATTTGCTGTTTCCTGACTTCTTCATGATGGTCATTCTTTCTGCGATAAGGTGGACTCTCAGTGTGGTTTTGATTTGCATTTCTCTATGGGCCAGAGGTAGGGAGCCTCAAGTTTAAGGCAAGGGAGTAGCAACAGCTCCCAGGGAGGGAGAGGAAGACGGCTTCTTAGGTCCACACCGAGTGCAGATTTCACTTTGACCATGGTTTGCTGGGTGGCTTCCAGCAAGCCACCAGGCCTTTCTCTCAGCCTCAATTTCCTCATCTGTGAAGCGGGAACAGTGTAGCTCCCCAGAGGGCTGTGCACACAGCTGGCTGTGGATACACCTTGGGCAGCCACACCTGCCCACCCCCACCCCCTCATGGGCAGAGGGAGGGGCTGCTGTGCTCCAAGTCACCCACTAGGTGGCGGCAGTGGGTCGGGAGGCTCCAAGGACACAGCGCCCCCACACACACCTCCGGAGCCTGGGACCCCAGCTCCTTTCCCCGGCAGTTCAGCACCTATGTCATGGGGCGCATGGACACCTACTTTGAGGACCCGCTGACTTTCAACCCTGATCGCTTCAGCCCTGGAGCACCCAAGTAAGTCCCTCCCAAGCTGTCCTGGTGCTGGGTGGGCCCTGGAGTCACCGCGGCCACAGCTCAAAGAGGCACAGCTGCCACACTCCCCCCCTAAGTTCAGACCCCAAACAGAATGCAACCAGCGGGCAGTGGTTTTGGCCCCTGAGCCCAGTTGCGCCCTGCGTACGCCGTGGTGGGGATGGGTAGGAGAAGCCCAGGGCTCTGCAGAGGCGGCTCCGGGCGCTTCTGGTCCAGCTCACAGCGGTCATCAGCAAGGGGGCCGTGTCTCCGCGTCCCGTGCACCGACCCCGCCCTGCTCTCTCCCACAGGCCGCGGTTCACCTACTTCCCCTTCTCCCTGGGCCACCGCTCCTGCATCGGGCAGCAGTTTGCACAGGTAGGGGCCTGGGCCAGGGCCCAGCGGGCAGGGGTGAGGCGGAGGCCGGGGCGGGCTCTCCCTGCCCTATGCCACTCCCCTTCCCGCCCGCGGGCCCGCAGATGGAGGTGAAGGTGGTCATGGCCAAGCTGCTGCAGAGGCTGGAGTTCCGTCTGGTGCCT